GGGGTAGCACTGTTGGTACAGAATGGAATAAGTACGATCGCTGGAAATAATCCTCGGTCAGAAGGTGTAGAATGCATATGGGTGGAGGTAAGAAATATAAAGGGAAAGAAGACACTAGTAGGAGTAGTCCACTGGCCCCATAACAGTAGCTATACAGCGGGACAGAGAATAAATCAGCAGGTAATGAGGGCATGTTACAAAGGCAGTACATTAATCCTCTCAGAAATAGTAGGAACTGCCGATGCTGGAGAATCTGAGATAACAAGGTGTGGAGCTGGATAAACACAGCAGGCCAAGCAGTTTCTGAAGAAGGGTCCAGACCTGAAATGTCAGCTTTCCTGCTCCTCTGATGCTGCTTGGCCTGCTGTGTTCATCCAGCTCTACACCTTCCCAGTACGTTAATCTTCAGTGTCGTTAGTCTTCATCTAGATTGAGATAGCTATGTTGGCAGAGGAATCCCTGAGGAAGAATTCATTGTGTAGTCAGGACAGTTTCCTAGAACAATATGTTGTGGATCAGAGATAACACTGGAGCTGGAGGAACACAGCAGGCCACGCAGCATCAGAGGAGCAGGATAGTTTACGATTTGGGTTGGGACCCTTCTTCAGAAATGGGGGAGAGGGAAGGGAGCTGGGAAATAAACAGAGGGACGAGGGGTGAGGTGGGATGGTGATAAATGACTGCAAGTTGGCAGTCGTGGGGACTGGTCAGTGAGGTGGGAAGAACGCATAGGTGGGAGAGAAGATGGACAGGTTGTGTCAGGTCAAGGAGGCGGGAATGGGAGGGAGAGTTGGTCATGGAATGAGGTCGGGGGTGGGGAGATTTTGAAACTGCTAAAATCCACATTTAGGCCATCAGGCTGTAGGCTCCCAAGGTGGAATATGAGGTGCTGTTCCCCCAGTTTGCGGGTGGCATCGTTGTGACACTGGAAGAGGTCCAGGATAGACATGTTACCCAGGAGTGGGAGGGGGAGTTGAAATGGTTCGCGACCGGAAGTGTTGTCGTTTGTCGCAAACAGAGCACAGGTGCTCTACAAAACAGAATCCGAGCCACCACTTTGTAGAGCACCTGTGCTCTGTTTGCGACAAACGAGATTTCAAAATCTCCCCACCCCCGACCTCATTCCATGGCCAACCATCCCTCCCATTCCCACCTCCTTGACCTGACACAACCTGTCCATCTTCTCTCCCACCTATCCGTTCTTCCCACCTCACTGACCAGTCCCCACCACCGCCTACCTGCACTCACCTATCACCATCCCACCTACCTTCCCCAGCCCCACCCCTCCTCTCTCTATTTATTTCTGAGCTCCCTTCCCCCTCCCCATTTTTGAAGAAGTGTCCCGGCACGAAACATCAACTTTCCTGCTCCTCTGATGCTGCCTGGCCTGCTGTGTTCCTCCAGCTACATACTGTGTTATCTCTGACTCCAGCATCTGCAGTTCTTACTATCTCTGCTGTGGATCAGGCCATTTTGGATCTTGTGATGTGTAATCAGGCAAGTTTAATAAATGATGCCAGAGTAAAAGATTCCCTTGGAAACATTAATCAGATATTTCAGAATTTAACATTCAGTTGGAGAGGTTAGAAACGATTGTGCTTAGCTTAAAAAGGAGTAATCACAAAGGAATGAGGGCAGAGCTAGCTGAAGTGGACTGGGGAAGGTGCTTGTAGTGATTGTGATTGGTCAGCCCTGTGGATTTCATTCAGTATGAGTTCCCTGATTGAGCCTGTTAACCTGGTCTGACAGATATGAATAGGCATATCAGACATCCTGTCACTCTGACAGCCGGGTCTGATGGAGCTGGATCAATGTCAATGTAAACATAGGGTGACTTGGTGACAGGATAACTCTGTGGAGTTATTTCAATGGCAAAGAGACTAAAGCACACTCCTGAAGAAACCTGCTTGCTCCAGTCGTCTTTGGGTTGGGATAAGCATTTCTGGCTTTATGCCATTACTTGGGAAGCATGACTCTTTCGATCCTGCCATTGAAGTCTGGGCCCAGCATGTGGACAGAATGCATTATTTTTTCCAAACAAATGACATTAGGGCAGATAAAAAGCAATGAGTAATTCTCCTGTCAGCTTGAGGAGTTGTAGCTTTTTCGGTTATTAGGTGCTTAATTTTCCCTGAGGCACCAGATACTAAAACCTTTCAAGAGGTAACGGATTTACTTAAGGAATATTACGACCCCAAGCCTCCTCTAATTCTGAAATGCTATTGGTTTTACTTGGCATTTTGAGAACCAGGGGAATTCGTATTGGGATTTTTGACTAGGTTAAGATGGCTGGCAGAGGCATGTGATTTTAGTTTAACCCTGAAATGAGATGCTGAGAGACCATTTGGTACGTGGGATTAATGATGTAACAATGCAAAGCAGCCTACGAGCTGAAGCCCAACTGGATTTCAAACTACAATTGGCTTTATCAATTGGAAAATGCAGCAAGTGGAGGACATGAGTTGCAAGGTATGCCGGTGGAAAGGGACACCTTTGCCAGACCGAATGAGTTTGGGGAACACTACTTGAGTGAAGGCAGTTGCATAGACTCACTCAGGATGTATCCTGAACAGAGGGGCTATTAATTTGGTCCAATCAGGGAGCTCTGGCTAACTGATAAAAACAGGAGTGTCAGAGGTTGTGTTCAGTCTGAGAGCCGGCTCTGAAGGAGCTGGATCTGTGTCAAGGACTATCCATGTGTATATAAAGGGTAACTTGGTGACGGGATACTGGCCTCTGTTGAATTATTTCAGTGTTTAGCTGCAAGAATGTTTGAGGAACAATGGCAAATGTTTAAGAAAATAGTTCACGATTCACAGCAAAGGTATATCCTAGAGGGGAAGAAGATTCTAGGAAGGAGATAAGCCAACCATGATTAACCAGGGAAGTTAAGGATAGTATCAGATTGAAGAAAAACATATAATGTGGCAAAATTTACTGGTAAATCAGAGAATTGGGAAATTTCGAAAACGAACAAAATATGATCAAAAATAATGATGTGGAAATGCCAGGTGTGGACTGCGGTGGACAAGGTCAGAAATCACATGACAACAGGTTATAGTCCAACAGGTTTATTTGAAATCACAGATTTTCGAAGCGCTGCTCCTTTGTCAAATGAAGTCTTCACCTGACGAAGGAGGAGTGCTCCAAAAATTGTGATTTCAAATAAACCTGTTGGACTATAACCTGGTGTTGTGTGACTTCTGACCAAAAGTAATGAGGAAGAGGATAAACTTTCAAGGTAAACTGGGTGACCGTTTTGCAGAACACCTACATTCTCTCTGCAAAAACGACTCTGAGCTTCTAGGTGCCTGCCATTTCAACACACCACCATGCTCCCTGGCCAACATCCCTGCCTCAGGCTTCCTGCAGCGCTCCAGTGAAGATCAGCACAATCTGGAAGAAAAGCACCTCATTTTCCGCTTGGGGACTCTACAATCTTCTGAACACAATATCGAGTTCAATAATTTTAGAGCCTGAGCAGCTCTTCCCATGTCCTTACCCCAAACCCCAACACACATTGCCTTGTCATCACATGGGCTGCTACCACCAACAACTCATTGTCAGCTAGTAGCGATCCCCAATAGCAGCTATTCATTTTTCCAGGCTGACCTTTAGCCATTCCTTCGTCTGCCCAACTGTTTATATCTCTCTCTAAGCTCTATCTCCACCTATTGTTTACTCCTTTCCCTCCCCCATCCCCATCTTCAGTATATGCATCAACCTTTTCCCAGCTAAATCAGTTCTGAAGAAGGGTCATTGGATCCAAAATGTTAACTCAGCTTTCTCTCCACAGATGCTGCCTGACCTGCCGTGTTTTTCAGGCAATTTCTGATTTTGTTGCTAATATAACATTATTATTTAAAAAGAGAATGAGACAAAAAACAAGTGATAATAGGCCAGTTAGCTTATTGTCTGTTACTGGGAAAATAAGAATGTAACAACAGAGCATTCAGAAATATATAATATGATCAAGCAGAGTCAATGTGGCTTCTTGAAGGGGTAGTCGTGCAGACAAATATACTAGAATTCTTTGAGGAGATAACAAGCAGAACAGATAAAGGTTTTGTAATATATTTGGATTTTCAAAAGAACATTTGACAAGGTACCATACTTTAGGCTACATCATAAGAGGACATGGTGTTAGAAGCAGTACATTAGCATGGTTAGAGGATTGACTAAAGAATAGAAGAATTGAAATAAGGTTGGCAGTGGAATGGAGTGCCATAGGGATCAGTGCTGGGGTATAGTTATTTACAATGAATATTAATGACAAGGATGTGGAAAATGAATGTACTATAACCAAGATTACGAAAATCAAACAGAATAGAAACAGAATACAATGAAATTTATGGTCGTATGTACTTTTACATAAAAAATACAGCGAAAAGTTTTATAAGTCACCCCAACACGGCGCCTACAACAATGTCAGAAGTCACACATCATAATAAGAAAGATATAAAATTAAGACAAAGTTCATCGCAGCTCGGTTAATGGCTCCTGGGCTTGGGGAAAGCCAATTAAGGAAGATGGAATACCCTGAAGACATAGTCGGGATGAGACCACCATTCCAGCATGAGACCGCCACACTGGGACAAGACCAACACACCAGGCTACTGGAATCCTGGGCCAGAAGCCTGCACCGAGGAAGACTGCCATGCCGGGCCGAAACCACCACCCCTGGACAAGACCGCCTGCAAGGCCGCTGGAACACATGGAAGCCGAAGACAAAGAAGACCTCCACATGAGGACAAGACCTCCAAGCTGGGACAAGACCTCCAAGCCGGGACAAGACTGCTACATCGGGAGACCACCAAGCTGTGCCAAGGCTACCAATTCTCTTCAGGTGCCTGGGTCTAGTCACAGACCTGGAACCTCAGCCTAGCCTGCAAGTCCAGGCCAGTGGAATCAGCCCAGGACCTGCTCCTTACTCCCTGGGAGACCCGCAGGGCGGGGTGGAGCAGTGTCCGGCTCATCTTGGTGGTGTTGCTGCTGCTGCCTCAAGAGGACTCCTCCTTCACATGCCACTCTCCAGTCTTAAAGGAAAAGAAAGAAGAGAAAAAAAGAAAAACAGCTAAAGAGAAAAGAAGAAAATAAGAGACAGAAAGCTGACAAGACTGGACAAGCGCCAGCTCTGCCCACCTACTCCGCCACCATCTTGAACAGAAAGGTGGAAAACTAAATGATGAGAATGCACAAAGAGTTTGCAGAAGGATACAGACAGGTTAAGTGACTGGGCAAAAACTTGGCAGATGGAATATAATGTGGAGAAATGTAACATTATGCATTTTGGTAGGAAGAAAAGAGGAGCCCAATGTTATTTAAATGAAAAAAGACAGCAGAAAGCCACAGAAGAGGGATTTGGGAGTCCTTGTCCATGAATCACAAAAAGCTAGCAAAAGGGATATTGGCCTTTATTTCAAAGTTGAATGGAGTTTAAAAGCAGTGAGAATTTGTTAAAACTATACAAGAAACTAGTCAGACCACAGCTGGAATACAGTTTTGGGTCTCTTATTGAAACATTACAGGGAGTTCAGGGAAGGCTTGTGAGGCTGATACCTGGCATGGAGACCGGTCTTATAAAGAGAAGTTGAGTAGATTGGATGCGTACTTGTTGGAGTTTAGAAGAATAAGGGGCAACTGGACAAGGTAAAGGCGGAAAGGTTGTTTGGGAGAGTCTAGGACCAGA